ATCGTGGCTTAATCACCCGTCCGGCCCCTGATCAGTTTCATGGTCCGGTCCCTGGTCCAGTCTCTGTTCCCGTCTCTTGGCTCCAGGTTTTTTCACTTTGCTGTGAATTCTCTCGTGTTTCCTCAGGGTGCTCTTTTCCAGGAACCTTTTTCCACACATTGAGCAACTGAATGGTTTCTCTCCTGTGTGAATTTTCTCGTGAGCCCTCAGATTGCTCTTCTCAGTAAAACTTCTGCCACACGTCCCGCAGCTGAACGGTTTTTCACCCGAATGGATTTTCTCGTGTTTCCTCAGATAACGATCATGAGTGAAGCCTTTGCCACAATCAGAGCAACTGAACGGTTTCTCTCCAGAGTGAATCTTTTCATGAATCCTCATATAGCGCTCATGGGTAAACCCTTTACCACAGAAGGGGCAACTGAATGGTTTCTCTTCAGAATGAATCTTTTCATGCGACCTCAGGTTGCTCTTCTCGGCAAAACTTTTTCTACAAACCAGACAACTGTATGGTTTTTCCCCAGTGTGTGTTTTCTCATGTGACTTCAGATGGTACTCACGGGAAAACCTTTTACCGCACTCGGAGCAGCTAAATGGTTTCTCCCCCGTGTGAATTTTCTCGTGTGACCTTAGATTGCACTCATGTCGAAAGGTTTTGCCGCACTCTGAGCAACTGTAGGGTCTCTCTCCACTGTGGATTTTCTCATGGGCCTTGAGAGTGCTCATCTGGACAAAGCTTTTACCACACTCAGCACAACTGAATGGTTTCTCTCCTGTGTGAATTCTCACATGCTTTTTGAGTGTGCTCTTTTGGTTAAAGAATTTTCCACAGTAGGAGCAACCAAATGGTTTTTCTTCACCTCGGAACAGTTTATTTTTCGCTGTTTTTTTCCCCGGCCGTCCGTGGGTTTTCCCACAGTCGTCGGTACTACGGTCGGTCTCTGAAGAACATCCAGCCTCCTCTTCACTGACGTGTCCGTCGTCCGCGTTCTCCTCGATCTGATGTTGATAAAGAAGCCACGAGCGCTCTGGTTTCTCCTCCTCCTCCTCCTCGTCGTCTTCGTCTTCTTCACTCTTCACAGTCACAGCGATGATCTGTCCTTCCTCTTGTTTGATGGAAACTTCCTCCACCTCCTCTTTGATGTGGGGGCGCTGTGGTTTCTCCTGGACTCCACTGGGAGCCCACGCCTGCTCCTCTTTAATCTTCATCAGCTCCTGGTCTCCTGTCAGACAGAGCAGAAAGAATAAATAATAAAAAGTTAAGAGTTTAAAAATACAATTTCCTTTTTAAATATATATATATATATATTTAATATTTTTAAATTTTATTTTTGTGTGTGTGTCTCTTGTAACTTCGCCTGTTTGCCCCTCTATTCTCTATTCTCGTTCCGCTTTTGCCCACACCAACATGGCGGCGCTGTTGACATGTCTCTACTCAGGCCTCGGCGGCTGACGTCAGTCTACAGCAGCTGTTAGCTTGGTTGTGTTAGCATGCTAGTTGGGGTGTGCTGTCGAAGCCGCGGTCGTGAGCAGAGACCGACCTGCTGAGTGACGCCGGCCTCGGGGATCCAGCTGGGCATCGAGCAGCCCCCCCTGTCGGCAGATCTTCAGCTCCGATCGCTGCGCTCTGACTTCGTGCTCCGCTGGAGACTCCTCGTTACGACCCTCCATCTTCTCAGCGGCTGCTAGCAGCCGTTAGCCGCTGTTAGCCTCCTCCTTCGGCTGATGTGTTAGAGTCAATAAATAGACGCTTCAGCGCCTCCTACTGGACGAAATCGGTTAACAGAAAACTTAAAAAAGGAAAATATTTGAAAACTATTTTATTTTACGTAAACAGAGCGTTAAACCATTAGCGACGTCACCATTACGCGGTAGAACTAGAATAGATTAGTTACTAGATTTAAAAAAATAACTAAAAAACACCAAATGACTCGACCGTTTAAAAACAACAGACTGGGTCAAAATCCCTCCACAAACACGGACTACGGCTAATCCTCCAGGAGAGGAAAAAAAACAACAACTGATATTTCACTGAATAATCTCATTATTATCACAAAATCTGACTGACCAATGAACTCTCCTCAGGTGAAACTGTTCACGTCTACAGAGGAACTCCACTGCTCTGAGTTCAGTCCTGATGATTTGATGAATGTGGTTTCATTTATTTATTTTATGCTCTGTTTAAAAATCAACAAAAAAACAAAGAAACTTTATCGTAGTTTTTACTGCAGTTGACTTCAGGATCAATAACCTCCAACTTTACATGATGCTAACACGTCAACAAGATGCTAACACGTCAATATGATGCTAACACGTCAATACAGGATCAATAACTTTACATGATGCTAACACGTCAACAAGATGCTAACACGCTGTAACAAAGTAACAGTCCTTGTGTACTAATAATAGTACTAGTACTAATACTACGATGAATGTGTACAATGAAGTAAAATAAGACTTTAAGAACCAGTCAGATCTTTGAACGACTGCTCGTCTTTGTTCTTCATGGTGGAGGTCGTTGACCTTGACCTTCAGCTGTGACCCGTCTGGTAAGTACCAGAGTGGATCCCTGTGATGTCATCCTGAGTCACGTGATTGGACCAGAGCCGACTAAGAGGATTGCTGAGCTGCTGCACATTTGTTGACTAAGAAGAAGAAACGGCGTCGCTGCTGCTGCTGCTGACTTTGTTCTGTGATTTGATTGGTCGACGAACTGACTCTCTGATTGACAGATGAGGCTGACGGTACCGCTGCTGATCGGCTGCTTCTGTCTGTTCACGGTCCGCTGCAGTCTGCCCGAGGTCACGCCTGCGACTCGTCTGCTTCTGGTACAGTGGCACAGGTGCATGCTGGGAAAGAACAAACCTTTTCAGTAGTGAAACACATGTTTTTTCCCGCAGACGGACGCGTCCGTGGTCTCTGGTTCAAACGCCAACATGCCCGACGTCCATCGACTTCCTGGACTTTGTCGACGTTTGAAGCGGCGACGAATCTCTGTTCTGGTAAAACATCGACGGTTTTCAAATATAAGTCTGAGACGAGACGAAATGAACAGATTATTATTAAAAAAACTTCAGTTTTGACAAAGTGTAAGAAAAGGGTTAAATGATTTGACCAGGTCAGAAAAACAGTTAACAAGGTCGAAAAGGTCAACAAAAATGGCCGACGTCCAAAGAAAATCAACTGGGAGTTTGGATTTAATTTCCTAAAGGTTGGATGGCTCCCCCTGCTGGTGAAGCCGCTGACGACGATCGTTTTCTTCCTGTTCTCAGTGTAACATGAAGAAGTTCTGCTGGAGGGGGCGCAGTCGCCACAGCCAGGCCGGTCACGTGTGTCGGTGTCCACGTGGCTCAAGGTGTTCGCGCTTTTTCGTCCACAGTCTCTGAAGCAAAGACTTTCCTTTGGAAAAGACAATATGGCGCCACCTAGTGGGTGGTATACAAAGTCCAAATACTGCTCCACTCAAACTAAACAAATGTGTTTGATGTAAACATAAAAAGATGATAAAAGTCCCGTGTCTAATATTTTCATTTCAGTTAAACCTCATGGTTCAATAAAAACATTTTTCCTCTTTTTGAAGTGGTTTAAAAGTCATTGTCAGAGTTTTCTTTTTATTTAAATTCACTTGAATCAAATTGATGTAAAATGTCATTTTATTTTGACGTCCAGGAAACATTTCTTCCACGAATCTTCTTCTAAAAACGTTTTTCCGTGTCGTGTTTTTGATAAGACACCTGTAATAAACACGGAACGTGCGTCAGCGGCGTCACGCCGTGATGACGTTGATGTTGACATTGAGTTCCAACTCACCGGAGGTGACGTGTTTGAGTTTCAGAATCTAAGGTAGAGAAATGTTGCGTTCAAAGTAGCCTCGTTACTTTCGATTAAACTAATTTTGAATTAAATACAATGTTATAACACATTTAATTACAAATCAAGGTAAGAATTTACTTAAAAAACAATCGTTTGTTTACAGCTCATCGGTGCATCATCGATCATGTCAAACGTGTGACGTGTGCTTTTGTTTTGGAAAGCTTACCGGAAGTGTTTAAACGTCACTCCCCGTTTGCCTGTTTTCAGATCGAGTTCTGTTCCAGAAGCCGCTGTGGGTTTGACTCCTTCTCAGTTTTGCTGGTAAATAAAAAGCTCGACTCTTTCTGTTTCAGCTCAAATGACAAATCACTCAACTTTCTGTATCACCATAGAAAATGGCGCCTCTTTGTTTGTTTTCTGTGCTGCAGCTAACACGGCTAACATTAGCCTGTGTTCTGATGTCGTTAGTGCGGTACGTAGCTTTAGCACGGAGTTTTCAACAGTTAAACACTTAAATGGATACTTGGTCAGTAACCGTAACTAATAACCGACAACCGAGATGATGTTTGGAGATGAAACGTCCGCGGCATCTGTTGATTAAAAGCAGTTTAATGTGAAAATACATCGATGCTAGCGCAGCCTCCTCTAAACTGACATCGGCTAACGTTAGTATTGTTGTGTGAACGTGTTCGAAACACGTTGTCGATTATTTAGTCGATATCTGGTGATTCCTTTGAACAATTAAACCCACATTTACACTTTTACTTATGTCCAAATGAAGACGTTTTTTCTTTGATTCCTCTTCGTTGTCAAATCCCAGACTTTACAGAATCACAACGTCACATCACATGTTTACAAAGGAAAACTAGAGTGTATTTCCGGTCCGTGTCAAACATTCATCCGGTCATTGATTTATTTATGAGTGATTAACTAATATCTGTAGATGTTTTTTCACAGTGTGACGTAACTGTTGCTGTTGTTCTTGTGGACCGAGGTCCGTTCTGCTCATCAGTCCGGCTGGTCTCAGACATGGACAGGGTCTGAGGAGGTTCTAAAGACCTGATCTAGAACCCCGGCAGTAACGTCAGCGTGGCCGTGGCGGTGGGCGTGTCCTGTTGTAGAAATAGACCAATGGAGAGCGACTGTCGGATCCCTGTGGCCTGTTGTCGTCCTCGAGTCCTGCTGCTCCACGCTCTCTTCTGGGGTCTGGTTTCTCTCAGGTCAGAGTTCAGGAGCGACGGCCGCTCATACATTTGGAATCAAGTCCATGATTGGAAGAATGCAAATCCATATATATATATGTATAACACACTGGGTTTAATGATGTGGTGGTTTCAGGGTGTTTGGAGCCGCCCTGTTGAGTGAAGAGAAAACTACAGGTACAAATACTTCAGAATTAAAAAGTAACATAAAGAATGTTCTCCAACAGTTGACCATCTTTGACCTCTGACCTTTTTGTACCTTTTCAGCAGTGAAGTCGTTGGCTGCCCCCTGCTGGCTGCTGGAGGACTTTGTTATCACAACTGCATGTGCACGGTGCAATGCTTTTCAGACAGTGAGTGTTTCATACGCTGCGTGTCACACACTCTGTGGACTGGTGTGGTGACTGAGTGTGTGTGTGTGTGTGTGTTGTAGAAGTCCTGGTTAGCCTGCGTACAAACGGGCTACGTGGAGAGAGTGAACTGCACCAAATCAAACAGAGACGAGTACAAAAGGTGAGGCTGCTGACATCACTGCTGACATCACTGTTTTACTATATGAACATGGTTGATTGTGGTGTGTCTACTAAGAGCGCCCTCTACCTGCTGGACTCAGTCTAACTCAGTGGGTGGACGACCGTGGACTAACGTCTCCTCTCTGTCCGTCAGCTGTCGCTCTGCCCTGATGGAGGAACATCTCTTCTGGAAGTTTGAGGCCAGCGTGCTGTCCCTCACCGTCCTCTTTGCCATCCTGGTGGTCGTCCGTCAGCGGTGGTTGGACCGTCAGGCTTCTGAAAAGGTCCGACGGCAGATCGAGTCCATCTGAGAGGACGGAGACTCTGGAACCAGAGCAGGACCAGCTTTGGAGTTTTTATCCTGCTGTACTTTTTCACCAAGACTGGATTTAAACCACTAACCCTGGTCCTGGTACTAGTCCTGGTCCTGGTACTAGTCCTGGTCCTGGTACTAGTCCTGGTCACTAGTCCTGGTGTCCTGGTACTAGTCCTGGTCCTGGTACTAGTCCTGGTGTTTTGTTTTTCAAACTGAACTTTTATTTAACAGGAGAAGAAAAAAACGTGGAACTAATAGTTTTAAAGGCAGTGTTGGAGAGTCTACGTCCACGTGACGTTGTCGTCCAACAGTCGTCGGTTGTAGTGTCAACAGCGCCACCCCAGACTTCAGCTGGAAACAGCAGGTCATGTGATCATACCTGTTTGGTCTGAAGGACGTGATGACAGATGGTTTGTGGGTAAATGAGTCCCGACTCCACTTTGTTTCTTGTCCATCACAGTGGGACACAGATGCTGTCGTCTGATTGGTCAGTTCACTGCAGCTGCTAAAAAGTATTCCTTCTTCACGGGATTAGATTTTGTGTCAGAACTTTATATTTCATTGAAACATTTTACTGTAAAAGTTTGTTTTTTTTCTGGGAAAATAAACGATGAAGACGATGAATTCAAGATCAAAGCGTTTCCTTTGATTTGACTGAAAACAGTGAAGAAAAGTTCTCTCAAAAATATTCCTACAGAAAAGATCCCAAAACCACGATTAATTAGTCAGTTAATTGGTGCTAAAATAAAATCCACATCTTGACATGTGAAAAGTTGAACTAAAAGCGTGTTAAAAAAGAAATCGGTCAGAAAATGTGACAAAATATCTTAAGACATGGAACTGTGTAGAAGTTGTGACAAAAACATTTTGTTTGTGAAAATTGTACAAAAAAAAACCTGCTCTGACTTTAATTAAAAAATCCAAAAAAATAAAAATGTCTAAAAATCCCTGCCAGTACACTGTAACATGTGACCGTGGGTAGAATTTAAACAAAAATGATCAAACGATCAGCACAGTGTGACTGAAAATATCTTAAAAACAACATAAACCACTGACCACAGTAACAAACTGCACGAACGAGTTCCTGGAAAAGATCAATAACATTCTACTAATTCGCCTCGATATGGGTAGAAATCTGAAAAAAAGTGGCGGAAGGTCCCAGCTGGAATTTACGCTATTGTCCAGGTGGCGGCGCTGCAGCCTTGTCAAACTACTTGAATTGACGTAAACACGACAGCAGAAGGAGACGTCATAGGAAAAATGGCGGAAGCGGTGACGGCGTCTGGAGCAGCGGCTTCTGAAGTAAACATCGGTTCAAAGTCTGCAGACTCCGCCATGGTTTATCTACAGGACGAGGTGACTGTGACGTCACTGTTTATACAATGTATTCAACCAACAGAAAATGTAAAGACACCGAGTCTGGAAACGATGTCTGCTCAGCTGTTAGCCTTAGCTTCCGTTAGCCTTAGCGTCTGTCAAAACACCGACTTCCGGTTCAGTGAGGATGCTAAAACATATTTTCGTCATTGTTATATCTTAGTGACGTCATAAGAACATTATAATTGATCTCTCCGCCAAAGATTTTGTTTTTTCTTCATATTCGCGGTGATCGAGAAAAAAAACAAACAAGGTTTGAAATGTTTCAAACGTCCGATCACGTCGGTCTGAGGTGTTAGTGGTTCAGTCAAAGGTATCGTGAGAAGGCACGTGGTTTGATGTTTGACGAGATCCAGTTTTCACACGCACTCTGACCCTGACGTGACACTTGAACACCGACGTGTCTCCGCAGAAACCAGAGGCGGACATGGCCGAGCTGAACCTGGGAGAACTGGACCTCACCACGGACGAGTACATCCTGGACGAAGTGGACGGTAAGAGCCAGGCCACACACGCATCTCACTGTGTGCGCCCCCTACTGTACAATTGTGAGACGTGTTGCAGGGGAGTTCCTGTTGAAGTGTGTTGAACAGTAACATGTCACCACAGCGCCACCTGCCGTTCAGGTCGACGCTCTCTGAACAGTTTTGTCTTCTTCAGTCCACATCCAGGCCAACTTAGAAGACGAGCTGGTGAAGGAGGCGCTGAAGACGGTGAGCGCGCGCACACGTCAAACCGACTTCTCGTAAGAAGTGACGGTGGCTGTAACAAATGCTGCTGTGTTTCCAGGGCGTGGACCTGCGGCAGTACTCCAAACAGGTGGAGGTGGAGCTGCAGAAGATCGAGCAGGCCTCCATCAGAGACTGTATCCTCCCTGTCTGTGGGGGGAGGGGGGTCACCTGGTACCACCTGGTGACACCTGGTGTCACCTCGTACCACCTGGTGTCACCTAGTACCACCTGGGGTCACCTGGGGTCACCTGGGGTCACCTGGTGTGAGCTGGTGTCACCTGGTACCACCTGGTACTGTGCTGCTGGTTTTCCTGAGCTGCGTTCAGACATCAAGGAGAGTCAGAACATCGCTCTGCTGCACCACCAGATCACAGCCTGTGACTCCATCCTGGAGGTCAGAGCTGGTACTGCTACTGGTACTGGTACTGGTACTGGTACTGGTACTACACACTGTACGGCTCTGTGTTTCCCTCAGCTGAGAGGAAACCAACAGAGCTAACGTCCTAGCGCCACATTACTAACAAACCACTGAGCATTCTGGGAGTTCCCAGTGTCATGATGCACCTCCTCCTGTCTCTCCTCCTGTCTCTCCTCCTCAGCGTATGGAGGGCATGCTGAGCGGCTTCCAGAGCGACCTGTCGTCCATCAGCAGTGAGATCCAGACGCTGCAGCAGCAGTCGGTCAGCATGAACGTCCGTCTGAAGAACCGACAGGCCGTCCGCAGCCACCTGAGTCAGCTGGTGGACGAGCTGATGGTCCCCGAGGCCATGATCTCGTAAGACCGCCGGCCGCGCACACGCACGCTCCCGCGCACGCTCCCGCCTGGGTCTGACCGTGTCTCCTCCGCAGCGTCGTCCTGGAGAGTCCGGTGACGGAGCAGGAGTTCGTGGAGCAGCTTCACGAGCTCAACAACAAGATCAACTTCGCCAAGGAGCTGAGCTTCAGAGAGACGCTGGCGTGCTCCGACATCCAGGACATCGTGGACCGCCTCAAGATCAAGGTGAGGACGGGGGAGGACGGGGGAGCGGGCTGATCCAGACTGAGATGTTTCTGCTCCTCAGGCCGTGTCCAAGATCAGAGAGTTCATCCTCCAGAAGATCTACTCCTTCAGGAAGCCCATGACCAACTACCAGATCCCTCAGAACACTCTGCTGAAGTACAGGTGGGTCCATCTGCTGCACCTCCTGCTGCACCTCCTGCTGCACCTCCTGCTGCACCTCCTGCTGCACCTCCTCTCTGCTTCTCCTGCTGCAGGTTCTTCTACCAGTTCCTGTTGGCCAACGAGCGGACGGTGGCCAAGGAGATCAGGGACGAGTACGTGGACACCATGAGCAAGATCTACTTCAGTTACTTCAAGTCCTACAGCAGCCGCCTGCTGAAGGTCCAGGTGGGTCATCAGGTCATCAGGTCATCAGGTCACATGACCACCACGGTCACATGACCACAGAGGCTCAGGTGTCACCCGTTTGTGTCTCCCGCAGTACGAGGAGGTGGCAGATAAAGACGACCTGATGGGAGTGGAGGACACGGCCAAGAAAGATATCCTTCACTGACACAAAGTGGCCACAGGAGGCAGCGGTGGACCAACAGCTCCTCCTGTTCTGTCGACAAATGTATTTTTAGATCCTGAGCTGGAACACTGGGTGGTACGGTACGGTACGGTCCAGCTCCTGGGTGTGTTCCTTTATCAGCCACAGTGATCAGGTCATGTGACTCCATGTCTCTTCTGTGACATCATCATCCTCCTCCTGGTTCTCCTCCTCCTGGTTCTCCTCCTCCTGGTTCTCCTCCTCCTGGTTCTCCTCCTCCTGGTTCTCCTCCTCCTGGTTCTCCTCCTCCTGGTTCTCCTCCTCCTGGTTCTCCTCCTCCTGGTTCTCCTCCTCCTGGTTCTCCTCCTCCTGGTTCTCCTCCTCCTGGTTCTCCTCCTCCTGGTTCTCCTCCTCCTGGTTCTCCTCCTCCTGGTTCTCCTCCTCCTGGTTCTCCTCCTCCTGGTTCTCCTCCTCCTGGTTCTCCTCCTCCTGGTTCTCCTCCTCCTGGTTCTCCTCCTCCTGGTTCTCCTCCTCCTGGTTCTCCTCCTCCTGGTTCTCCTCCTCCTGGTTCTCCTCCTCCTGGTTCTCCTCCTCCTGGTTCTCCTCCTCCTGGTTCTCCTCCTCCTGGTTCTCCTCCTCCTGGTTCTCCTCCTCCTGGTTCTCCTCCTCCTGGTTCTCCTCCTCCTGGTTCTCCTCCTCCTGGTTCTCCTCCTCCTGGTTCTCCTCCTCCTGGTTCTCCTCCTCCTGGTTCTCCTCCTCCTGGTTCTCCTCCTCCTGGTTCTCCTCCTCCTGGTTCTCCTCCTCCTGGTTCTCCTCCTCCTGGTTCTCCTCCTCCTGGTTCTCCTCCTCCTGGTTCTCCTCCTCCTGGTTCTCCTCCTCCTGGTTCTCCTCCTCCTGGTTCTCCTCCTCCTGGTTCTCCTCCTCCTGGTTCTCCTCCTCCTGGTTCTCCTCCTCCTGGTTCTCCTCCTCCTGGTTCTCCTCCTCCTGGTTCTCCTCCTCCTGGTTCTCCTCCTCCTGGTTCTCCTCCTCCTGGTTCTCCTCCTCCTGGTTCTCCTCCTCCTGGTTCTCCTCCTCCTGGTTCTCCTCCTCCTGGTTCTCCTCCTCCTGGTTCTCCTCCTCCTGGTTCTCCTCCTCCTGGTTCTCCTCCTCCTGGTTCTCCTCCTCCTGGTTCTCCTCCTCCTGGTTCTCCTCCTCCTGGTTCTCCTCCTCCTGGTTCTCCTCCTCCTGGTTCTCCTCCTCCTGGTTCTCCTCCTCCTGGTTCTCCTCCTCCTGGTTCTCCTCCTCCTGGTTCTCCTCCTCCTGGTTCTCCTCCTCCTGGTTCTCCTCCTCCTGGTTCTCCTCCTCCTGGTTCTCCTCCTCCTGGTTCTCCTCCTCCTGGTTCTCCTCCTCCTGGTTCTCCTCCTCCTGGTTCTCCTCCTCCTGGTTCTCCTCCTCCTGGTTCTCCTCCTCCTGGTTCTCCTCCTCCTGGTTCTCCTCCTCCTGGTTCTCCTCCTCCTGGTTCTCCTCCTCCTGGTTCTCCTCCTCCTGGTTCTCCTCCTCCTGGTTCTCCTCCTCCTGGTTCTCCTCCTCCTGGTTCTCCTCCTCCTGGTTCTCCTCCTCCTGGTTCTCCTCCTCCTGGTTCTCCTCCTCC